AAACCCCCCCCCCCCCCCCAATTTTAGTGTGTCCTTCCCAAGTTGGGAAAAACTGAACAATAGTAATAGGAGCGAAAAAAAAATTAAAATATAATTCCTTATTTAACACAGCCTTACAGATTACAGGCAGTATTTTTTTATATACATACTTACACATACATACATAAATAATATATGCTTTAACTATTATTTGTGATATGTATTATTAATGAGTGATAATAGTTCTGTAAGTCAGTACAATTTAGTTGCTTAAAATAATTCAGATGGAATTTAATATAAATTCTATTTAAAAATCATCATTCAAAAGTTTCTATAAATGTTGAGCCCAGTTTTTCATGCGATGGACGAAACAGAAGTTTGTTTTACTTAAAAGCACCTGTTCCAAAATTTTATAATTGTCAAGGTTGTCCTGCAAACAAAAAATGGCAGTCGTGTTGAAGTATATGCGAACCAAGGAATTTCGAGACTGGATAACGAGGTATTTTTATGTTATTTTTGGTTATCTCAAGCAATTAAATAATGTAATTCTTAATCTTAACAAATGCACGTTTAATGCGGAATAATAGTTTTTGCGTATGATAGATTCTGGTCGAGTGTTTTGAGCTGACCTTTCGACTTCGACACTTACACTTCGTTCGTATTTCAACTATTTGGCAAACTTTGTACTTTATACTTTATTGCCTTTATTTTATATCTTTCTTATTCTTAAGCTAGTAACTTGGCTTAACTCTCTACTAGTATTATTTATTACATTTTTGTTGTTGTTATAACTAAAAATGTTAAAGTTTCTCAACTTGCAGCAGCAGAAACTTTAATCATTTAATTTAATGTTTTTGTTTTAATTTTTTAGCCAATTTTTTTTGTTTGAGAATAGACTTAGACTTTAGACTCTATTGGTCTATTGTCTCTATCACTCTATTTAATTTACTCACAAAACTAAAACTATTTGAAAAATTTGAGGTATTTGAATTTGGTCAAAACTAATCCTGCATATTTTAGTACTTCTAGGCCTTACTCACCCTTGCCCTTGATTCAGTTATTAATTTAAACTCATCAAAACCACTTTAAAAGAAGCTCTACTGGCTCTACCAGCTGGATTAGAAGATTTGATTTTGATATTAACATTAATATTTATAGAACATAATTTTTAAAATGTAGGCCTATTATACTATATTTTATAAAGATTAAATTATAGAATTTAAATTCCAGTATCTAAATTCAAACTATGGTCGATTCATACTAATTGTGCCATGTCATTTCATGTTTTTTCTTTTTAAATTTTGTGTTTTGAATTCACTCCCTTTGTTGTTGTACCTAGAGTTAAATTTTCCTTAATATTACAATGGAATGTTTTGAACTAAACATGGGTCCCTTTAGACTAAATGCTATTCGGATGTCATTTGTGTTCATTTATTTTAATTAAACTGAAGAAGTAAGGTTACAAACATAGTCCATTTAATCTTTCATTTGGTACCAAAATTTGTCTTACAAACCCAACAATAATATTTAAAATATTTTGTAATAACCCAACCTCTCACTCTTTTCCGGGTCCAGATAGCCGCTTAGTTATATTATAATGTTAGGTATTTCAAAAGTCATTGGCACACATGTTCTGCACACGTCGAAAAATTGCGGAAAAACTTTTTTGGCCATTTAACAATCTGCTCTACAGTGACCTCGGATTTCTTTAGGTTTATGTCACTGTTTTCTTTTAATAAATTAATTTTGTCACCAGTTACGTAAAATATTTGTCTTACGTGGGCGCTCATACAATTTATCAGAGGGGAACTCAGTGGATTTTTTTTTGCTGCTCTGTCACTTTGACCATTTGGTGAGCTTTAAATATCTTGAATACTTTTTTTTAGCAACTTAGCTTTATTGGAACCTAAAAATATATATATAAATAGTTGATGTAGGCCTATCCAGTAATGCTTATATTAATAAAACAATACTATTAAGTTACTGCAACTGTGCTTAAAGGCTTAATTCAGATTAGTATTTTTTATTTTAATAAGGTATTGAATTATAAATATGGCAATGTGCCACTTTTTGTAACTGCATTTATTTAAAATTTTTATATATGGTAGGGTGCCATCTATGGGGAAAAGAAGCACGCTCTTGTGGCATGATTTTTTACCCCAGGGGTATTCACACCCACTGAGCTGGGCATGCCTGTTCCACATGGGACTGGTGAACAGCTCATGACTTGGACATCATTGTGACTCCATAAGGCAGATGGGAATTTAACCCGGGGCTTGTACTTTCTGAGCTGTGATCAAGTAGTCAGCTGAGTCTGAGTGCGTACATTGATATTGGGTGTGAAAACGGAAACTTTGAGTCTGCTGCATTTGTGAGACTGTCTGTTCAACAGCTTGTACTTCAAGAATAAAAGCTATAGTTCTCAGACCTGCATTTCATTGTTTGTGTATTTAAACTGTAATAAGCCACGCTAACACATGGCTACATAAATATTAATTAATTAAGTTGTGTAATATTCTAATACTGTGTGTATTTACTTTTTGTCAGAGTCTAGTGCTATTTAGTATTATATAGGCCCTAGGCTTTATTATATAACTAAATAAAAATGACAGTAACAAAATAGACATAACAGTCTAGGACTTGTTTTACTTTAGCCTATGCAATTTTTTTTAAATACATCAAATAAATAAACAAGACTCAGCATCATCAAAGTAATTATATTTTTACCATATTAGGACATAGAAAAACAGTTTAAATCTACAAATATTTAATATTTCTAATAAAAAATTTAAAAGGAAATGAGTTTTGCTCTACACAAAACTTGCGTATTTTTAAATAGAAATAAGAAATTGTGTCGCTTTATGATTGTGATAAGTTATTATTTCTAGGCTCGTTGCAGAAAAAAGAAAAATTTTATTTTCTAAGAACTCTATGGAATTCCTTCCATCGACAATGAGGCATGGTTAAAGGTAGCTGGCAAAGACAAAGTTTATAAAGGAGTAAATGTGAGATATATCAATAAGACCAAGAAGTCTGTATAGCAGTCTACATAGAAAATGGCAGGCAGAACATCCTCATTACCTTTTTAAAATTTAATCACATACCGGAACTGGTGTATGCTCGTATTAGTCTTGTTGGTGATTTTAGTAGTTTTTATTATAATTTCATGCATTCAATTTTATTTGATAAAAAAAAAACTTCTTACCTTTTATAAATAATAAATATAATAATTTATTTAATATTTAGCTGAAGCATATATTAAAATTAATTAAAATATTAAAATAATTAAAATACAATAAACATGTTACTTTTTTTTTTGCCTTTACAAATGATGATTTTTCCAGTTTTTCTTTCGTGATTTTTTAAAATTCTCTTGAATAAAATTTAACCAAAATTCAAAGTCTTGATGTAATGTTGTATTTAGATTGTGAATATCTCCTGAAAATTTGGTGCAATTATCTTTAAAAATAAAAAAGTTTGGGGCAAAATAGTGCAGAAAAAGTGGGTCACAGGTTTTTTTGGGGTAAAATGTAGAGTTTAAATATGGGGCTTAAAAATTTCAAAAAAAAAATTCATAACTTCACTTCTTTGAAAGATAGAAAGATGAAATTTGTGTTTTTGGAAAGCTTTTAGCTAGCTCTTTAATATGATACATATTTTATGGCCATCAGACAGTACCTGTATTTAAAAATGTATGTCAAAATACCACAGTGTAGACTTATATAACTAAGTATTAGAACAATAACTTTTGACCTTTTGCACATACAATATTCAATAACTTTTAGTACAAGTGAGACAGACAATCTATAAACTATAAATCTGGAGAGAAAAAAATTAGTTAAGCAACTCAAAATATGTAGTTTAAAATTATTGAACTAATATATGATAAAAAAAATAAAGAAAGACTCCTTGAAGAAAAAAAAAATGTACTTTGAACTTTGTAGCTTATCATTTCGTCTTAAGTATGTCAGATAGTTTGTGAGACTTATTTTTGTGTACTTGGGTTATCAGAAGTTTTATCAATGTTTTAACAAAGGACCATCTATAAATAAAACATATCACTTAAGCAATGACTTGTCAAATTGTCATCTTGAGTGATTGAATAGAATATTAAAATCAATCTACAGTGGAAAAAAAAATTACTATTAAATCAATTTTTCTCCTAAGTTATGCATAATAGACAAAACTTAAGTCATTAATACTTTTATCAATTATAATAAAGAATATTTGCTCAATCATTCATCAGTTTTAAAAAAATGGATTTGTAACTCTGTTATACCTAAACTATATAGACTTAGTATTTAAAAAATCATCTTAACTCTTACATGCCAACCTCCTGAGTCTAAATAATTACACTGCACCCCCACTCCCACCCCCAACTTACTCTCCCATCAACTTTTACACAATAAGAAAAGAACATTTTAATGTTTTTCTTTATCAACTTTTCTATATTCACAATGACTGAGCTATCCTTGCTTTTTTTTTTGGTGATGTATGAATGAGTTGGTTTTTTAAAAATATAAAACAACTGCCTATGCAAACTGTCTCTTTTTAAAATCAATGTTATGGGGCCTGTTTTGACTCTTTGAAACATTTGAGTAAAGGTCTTTCACTGTCATTAATTGCTAATAGCAATAGAGGCCTTAGAGAATAAGAATGATTAGTTATCTCAATTTGCCAAAATTAATTTATAAATAATATTACACAATATTTTTTATGTATAATATTTCTGAGAAGATTTATGCTAAATGTCTAGATTTTAAAAGCAAACATGGGGATGTAGACCTTGATAACCTTATGGTATACATAATTATTATCTTGTTTATATTAATCCCAAAAGAATATCCCCTTCTATTATGATTTTTTTTTTTTTAAAGTATTTATTTGCAAAGGTTAAATTCATCTTTTTATTTTCATAACCTGCTCCTGAAAATTATGGTTGAAAAATTTTGATTCACCTTCAAAGCACTGTAAGTTTTTATTTTTTTATGATAGTTTAAGTTTAAATACCATAGTTCAATTCTAAATTAATCATATTTGAATTCTAAATTAATCATATTTGTTATGCAATGTTTTTGTATGTTTAAAGCTCTTTAGAAAACTGATAACTTGAATACTTTTCTGCTTCTTTTGTTATTTTTTTTCCAATAATTTTCTTGCCTCCTAAAATTTGTACCATTAATGTAATTAAAATAACATTTAAAAAAAAAAATGAAGTCAGAATTAATAATGGAATGATTTTCTTGTTTTTTTTTCAGCATTTTTGGGGTCCAGGTAAGCATCTAGATCTTCCTGTTTTTATTAAGAAAGCTTTTAATTATAGCGAAAAAACTACCAATCATCTTTTCTTTAAAAAAAAAAGATGCTTTGCAATTTTTAACTTTAAAGCATGTCAGCTGTTTTTTTGTTTTTGTTTTTTTGTTTTTTTAATTCTTTGTAGAAACATGTTTTGTAAACATACGTTAAAAGTTATAAGTATTTAAATTAGCCTACACAGACCTGTTTACTCTTACGATTTTGGCGTACAATGTATGATTTTTAGATGTCTTTTACGATTGTACGCCAAGACCCGCCAAAACTACGATTTTCAGAGACCCGGTGGAAAAATTTTTTTCCCCCATTTAAAAAAAATTAATAAATTTTCGGGTTTGGGCATTTTAGCCCTCTCTAATGAAGATCTCGCAGTGAATATGAAGAGAAAAACGATTGGTTATATTTTTTTTTTTTTTAAAGTTTGGACCATCCTTACTATATTTCGAAAGCACTCATGGGGACTGGGGAGGTGGGGTTGTTGATTACTGAAATTGTGGCATAGGAGAAAGGCATGGGTAGGGGATTGGTGGGAGTGTCAAAGGATATAAATAAATAACCGCGATGTATGGTATTGACAGGATCACAGTTAACTAGCTGGCTGAGTCAACAATAATATTTTGATTTGTCGCCCAGCCACAACTTCACTCACCATTGCCTTTGACTGCTAGCAAGCTTGTGACATAGTTTTGTTACATAATTATTTTGTTCCTCAGAACCGTGGGGATTGTAAAAATAGAGATGGTTTTTAAAATAAAATAGATTATCCTACTGTTCTGCAGTGGTGCGTTGGATTTTGGCATATTTTATAAGATCCAGTCAGCGACATTTACAAAATATTTTCATAACTGGCAAATCAGCTCTACGCCTTCAACAATTTTAATACAACAGTTTAGTATCACTACCAGGGTTTCTTTCAGCTATATCTCGGGGGGGCACTGCCTCTCTCCCGGGTTCAGCGGCTCTTTAGCGATCTGAGTGCTGCTCGGTCAGCCAACCACAAACGGTTTTGACTCCCCAAAACATGGTTCTTGGCAGGTTCTTGAAAAAGAATTTGGCTCTCAAACAAATTTTAATCGCCCTGCTGGTGTTTTTTTTTTTTTTTTTTTTGGCTCTTTTGACTAATGAGTTTGCCCTGCACCACTGGACTAAAGCGTGTTAACGGAACAAATCAGGCGCCTTTTGGGTAGGCGACGGCACAGTTTTTTCCCAGTAATGAGGGTGGGGGATGGTTGGAAACAATTACGTCACAGCACGGAAAGACGTGATGTCACCATATTACTACTACAGTGATTTCTTGATGAAAACACAAAGCATTAGTAAACGATAACTGCGAAACACTGTGGTGATGTTTTATAGCCTTAATAATAATAATTAATAATGGGCCTAATTGGAATTCATGGCCTTCACAGATTTTCAGGTGACAGTTGGCTCCATAAGAGACTGTCAGGATAATCATTGAAGAATTCATGCATAAATGTAGGTGCAGTCTGCCCCCCCCCCCACCCCCACCCACCCCACTTTTCCCATCAAAGCTGCCATGCGCATCCTCAGCGTGTACGTAGTAGTTGGATAGCTTTACGTTGACAAGGTGGGGAGGGGGGTTATGAATATTTTTTACATTTCATTTTGCCTACCGAATGTTATATATGGATGTCCAAACAGCCCTGGCGTACGAAGTGGGCTCCATAGACGGATGTGCACATTGCGTTATTTTAATGTTACCATCAATGCAATCGGCGAGCCTTTTTGTTTTTGTTACCGTAGTTGAGCATGCACAATACATTACGATATGGCATCGACAAAATGAAAGGCACGCGAAACTGATGATGAAGAAGGAACTTCAACTTAACATCGGATTCAGCAAAAAGAAAGTTTATTCGCTGATATCCTATCTTGAATATCAGACAAAATTGACTGAGTTGCGTTCTTCAAATAAGGGTCCATCAGCCGCAAACTGCACAGTCGGACTTTTCATTAGCAATCAATCAGAGATAAAAGGAGTAGTGTTGATTTAAGAGATTGTGTGCATGGCGCCGGTCCAAGTTTTTAAATTTATATACTCAACACCGCCAGATTTGGGGGGGGGGGGGGGGGGGGGGGGGGGGGGGGGGGGGGGGGGGGTGTCCTCGGCCAGAAAGTATGTGCGTTTAAAAAAAAAAATTCTACAATATTCGTCCTGTAAGTCCAAAAATAACATATTTATATCTCGAATGCTGTAAAATACCAGCCAATGTGTAGTACGAATTATCGTCGTGATGTTGTCAAGGTGTATTTTCACAGATGAACTCCTAAGCTATACTCAATAGTAGAAGAATTACAGTAGGGTGATGTTAAGTCCACCCAATGTTCAACGCGCGCATGACGTATATTTCGTTGGGCTTACGCCAGTGGTTCTAAAATATTTGTTTGTCGGCGCCTGTGCAATATTAGGTTTTCACCAGGCGCCTTGTGTGACATTCTAACAAGTGCACTTGGACATAGCGAATACCAAAATAAAAAAAAGGGTGGGATAAAAATAAATATAACACGTATGTAGGTCACTGAGTGCCATCTGTAGTTGCAAACTCAAGCGGTTAACTGGACCGAAAGATGTCACATTGGATTAAAAGTACAAATAAAATTATGAAATTTTTCTTTAATATTTCGCAACGCCCCTGTGAGGAAGCTGCAGCAGCCCATATAGAAAATTTGCACCCTTATTTAAAAGGACAATTTATTGCGCCCTTAATCTGTGTGTAAATGTTTTTTTTTATAGTTGAATTGACTGTTTAAGTGTCTGTCTATAGACGATTTTCATGCGGTTGCTCTTCGTTATATTCTAATGGCCCTGCCAAAGGGCAGCGAGCAACCAGGGCGATGTAGTCCGATGAAGCATATATTCTGTGAACCACTGGGCTGGACGAATCACCAGTGGTGAAAACCCGTGTCACATTTTGTTTACTGTAACATAATATATAATGAACTTTGCTAATTTTTTATTGTAATTGAGGAAAAGAGGGGGGGGGTCGTAAAAACGTCTCCGTGCAACGGAAAAGGGGGGGGGGTTACATAATTAGTCTTTATTGCGTTACTGTTTTATTTATTTACTATAGAGATATTGCATTGTACGATTTGAGACCAGATTGTACGATTTTAGGGGTTTGAGGGTAAACAGGTCTGCCTACATGTTTTTTATTTTTTAATTATTTTTTTAAATGAAAGCAATAAACCATCATTAGAAATTTCTTTTCATACAAAAATGCAGTTGCAAACTGGGGCTTGCCATTAGCTGCACTCGGTGACTTGAAAAAGAACCCAGAAATTATAAGTGGAAAAATGACCCTAGGTAAGTAGTAACATTTAAGTTACAGCTTTCTGAAGCAAAATTTTGCTGTCCAGGCTAGCTCTGTAACTTTGAGACGCATACAAAGCTCTATTATTTTGCACATTTTTGTACATGTATTTTTCAAGCATTTTCATTCTGCTTAGCAATATGAGTTATTGAAAGTTGAGCTGTACATAAAAGTACTAAAGTAAAACTATAGTCAATTAATATCAATATTTACAAATGCTGTAAATAACAAGAAAATAGCATTACTAGCAGGCAAACGTTGCTTTTTAAAATATACACAATTACATATGTGCTGGTAAAGACCTGTAAAAATGACTGTACTGGTAAGAGAAACATGTACGGATGGAGAAGCCGCTCTGATTTTTTGGGGTCTCTTTCTGCTCATAGTAAAGTCTATGCAATGTTAAAGGAATTGTGTAAACTTTGGGGCACAGTGAAAGGAAGCAAAGTCTGTTGTCTTGTATCCATAGTAAAATATGTAGTCATTTCTTTATTAAATAATAGACCTCATTGACTAAATTAACTATTTGCTTTGTAAAGTTTGGAATCAACATAATAATAATAATATTGTTGAATGATGGGAAGTTTAATTAATTTATCATAATCATTCATTTATAAACCCATACCGGGTATATTAATATATGCTTATGCACATGATCTAAATTATTATGTGCACTTTATCTATTGTTAAAGTATAATTAAATCATACCAATTGCATAGTTTAAATTAGTAGTTTTAAAACCTCATAAGAGTGCTAAAAAGTGCAAACTTCGTTGTTGGTGTTTATTCCTCAGCACTCTCGATCTACTCATGCTTATTCATGAGGTTTGCTTGGAAGGTTATACCTCGGAATCTTTTGCTTCTATCATGCCATATGACAAATGAGGTTGCACAGCTTACTCAGGGAGCCAGGTTCATTAACTATCAGTAAGTGTATTAGTAATAATTTTTAAAAAAACTCTCTTTTACGCACTTTCCCCTAGACCAGTGGCCATCCACTTTGGTATTATTGTGTCAAAGTGAGATCTCCACTTCATTCAATGTGCCAATGACCTTATTCTCTACTGTATAAAGATGCCTTTTTAAGTCATTTATTATTATTTTTGGTCTTCAGCATGTCATTGAAAAAGTCTCTGCTTGCCACATCAGGCTTGCCAACTCCTGCCCTAGACTATTAAAATCACTCACTCATTTTATCACATCATTCTCTAATCCACAGCTATGTCATGACAGATGAGCAAAGAAAGAAGTACCATGCTGAGTTTGTCGATGAGGAGCTCCACAAGCACCCAGAGGACTTCCCTAAGGCTCATCCCATTCTGCACCCACCACCATACTCTGAGCTGGAAATTCAAAAGGAAGTGGAGGAGTTTGATAAATATTATGAAGTACCAAAAGACATGTCAATTAAGCCAGGAATTTAAAAACCATTTGTAGCCTTTTATCAAGAATGTGGAGAGTGAACTATAGAATATGTACAAGCTCTAAGTCTTGATGAGATGTGTTGCAGTTGATGTTTTTAGTAGAAATGTATATGCCTTGTGAGAATATACAAAAAAGGATTGCCTTTTTGATTTGAACTTTGAACTCCAGTTTTACATTTTAAATAATAAGGGAATTTTTTTTGCCTGTCTTAATAAGTGCCAAGTTCATATGAATCTGTTTTCACCACAAGTGATTTATAAGCGTGGCTCAAAAATTTAATCAAGAATTTGAAAGAAAACTACTTGTAAATCATACTTGCTAATTGTATCTGGATCAAGTTTTTGGTTTTAAATTTAATGCTTGGGTCGGTGAGATAACTTTCATGAACAATTTAGCAATCTCACCTTTCCCATTTACAATGAAAAGAAATTCATTTTTGAGAAAAAAAAAATTTTTTTTTTAAAATTAAAATTTGTCAACATGTTTCTTAGAGGTAATCAATAATTTAGCTCAGATTAATGTTTCTTAAAGGTAAGCAATAATTAAACATTTAATTTGTTTTAAAAAAATCAAATTAGAGAAAGTTTAACAAATATTTTTCTTCACCTTAAATGTTGTTTTCCAATGGCAGAATAGTATAAATATACAATAGTAAAGTGATAATGATCCTTTTCAATGTCAATTATTTTATCTAACCAGATCATAGCGTGTTAACAAAAGAAAGAAGGATATCTTACTTCAAATTTGCTTTGACATGTTCTACCACAATGGGAAAAGTTTGCTTAGTCAATCATCGCATAGCTGTGGTTCTCACATTTGTATTTGTTCATTTAGCATTTTAATTTTCCTTTTGAATTTTGTGAAAAAAAATAATGAAAGCTCTCCGAAAATCTAAAAATTTGAAACACACCCATCTTGATCTGAATACAAATAATCTTTTTTCGTCTATTTATAGTATTTAATAAATTAATTACACTAATTTATATTACTTTAAGTACTTTAAGAGTTATTTTTTTTAAATGAAGAAAACTCTTGTTTTGTTTTCATGTACCTTATATGGTAAATTTACAGCCCAGATTTGGTGATGTTATCGCACACTAGTTGAGAAACAGTTCTTATTGTCAACATTCACATGAAAGCCTCAAAAATTGAAATGGGAAAATTCTTTTTTCTTTTTTTTTTTTTTTTTTGAGATGAAATCAGTTTATTTTATAGTTGAGAAACAGTTCTTATTGTCAACATTCACATGAAAGCCTCAAAAATTGAAATGGGAAAATTCTTTTTTCTTTTTTTTTTTTGGAGATGAAATCAGTTTATTTTTAAGCTTGACCTGATTGAAAATGCTATTAAAAGTCAACTTAACTTTTTAAAAATTGAAAAGTTATAGGTAGCTTAAAATAAGATTTAAATTAAATCTTTAACAAATGCATCATAATTAAATGACAATTTCATTGGTTTAGCTACCAAAATATTTCAGTTTTAGAGGTTTTCACCATTATAAATTCAACAAAATGCATGTACTTCATGTTTTAAATCAACATGGTCTAGTACATTAGAAATGCTCAAATGTATGTATGCCAATATATGCAAATTGTTTGGTTTTTTTCTTTTAGAAATGCTGTGATATATATAAGTATAAGAGGACATTTTTCACTTTATGCCCAGGTTATATTTGAAATAATTTTTGGCATCCAATTTTTCAAATTAAATTTTCCTCCAGCAAGAAGTTAGGTCTATAATTTTTCAGCCTTTCTTCTACTTAGACCTGTTTGTAATATATCAAACAAAAAAAGATTTGATGAAGATCTTAATTATTTTGGTATTGTAAGAGCTGTGATTGAAGTTTATGTCCAGAGCTGCATGCACAAATTTTCAAAATACATTTTTATTTGCTTATGAAGTTAACTTTGGCATTTGATTAAAACAGATTTGTTATGTCCCTAGACCCCCAGCTCTCTAAATGTTATTCACCTATTTATCATGCAATACTCAAAATTCTCTTTATTTTTAAAACTATAGAATAATAAAATTTGATTGTACCAACAATATTAAAATAATGAAATTTCAAACAATAATTATTACAATTTGGTTGTCTTTGATGAAGTTTGACAAATTTTTTTGATGCACCTGACTTTGTCACAATTTTGTTTTACCAAATTCAGGTCAGATTAGCTTATAAACAGTTAAATTATTCAAGCAATTTACACTTTCTAATTTCAGTATTTTTACAGAGTTGTTATTTTACTTGCTCTGAGTTGAGTTCACTAATATTTTAAAATGATTCTAAGTTGTACCAGTTTTTGCTTTTTTTATTTATCTATTTCATTAGTAGTTTTATCTATTTTTTCAGCACAACTTAAGAAAGGTTTTTGAAACATTTAACCGCAAAATTTAAATATTATAAACCATCTTAGATTTCATTCAATAATGAATTGAATTATGGGTGTAGCCTGATTGAATATTAATTCTCAATTATTTAAATTCATGTTTAAATAATTGATAAGAATATGATAATCTCCTTATTTTTTTAGGGAAAAAATTACCTTGACATTTTCTTCTGTAATTTAGTTTACATATACTACAGTTTCAACCATTTATCACACTTTTTTGCTTTCCTTTCCTCTTACTTTAGCTAGTTTTCAGGCGTTTTGTTGATTTTAAATTATTAAATAATTTTTTTTTTCTTTGATATCGCCCTACTATTATTTTTTCCCCAATTATAAGACTTGATGACTGTAACGATTTGGTGGTTAGTTTTGGGTTGAGCTTTACACCTTTGGAAATGAGTCTTTTGGCTTCCATGAATACAACTGATTTTACTATCATGTAAAATATGATGGATGACTTTTAAAATGTCCAACTTTCTTTCCAAATTTATCCCCAGAATGCCGGGTATATTCGTAACATAAAAGGATGACTTTGTTTTGGTTAGAATAAATAGTACATGTTACCTGTTTTTGAGCGTGTGTGGTGTTTACTGTGTAAAACATTTGTTTGATTTCATTATACTTTAAAAATTACTGGATAAATATTTACTCTAAATATTTAATTATTATAGCTAGCTATTTGCTGGTTGTGCTTGGCAAGTTTTAGCAATAAAGTAAAGAAAACAGAGAGCAACATTGCTCTCCTAATAACATTAGTTGATTTTCAATTTGTCAAAGCCCTGCTATTTAAAATAACAGCTTAATTAATGCTATTTATTATAATTTCCCAATGTTTGTTTATGTAGTTTAATATACATTTCAGCTATGATAATGCAAATGTATCTTATGTTACTCTGTTGTGAATACATCATTGGCAGCGCTAAATTGTCGTTACCAAAGGACATAACTGAGTCTCATCAAAATCATACTGTTACAATGGTTGAAATAATGACCTGCTGTAGAAAAAAAAGGACATTTTGATTTTCAAGATTTTGTTATTCAAGGCATATGAAGCACTTAAGGCATCCCTATTCATCAAATTAAATTTTAAAAAACTACTGTTAATTTTATCTGCATTGAAACTATGAAAAAGGACACAAGTGCTTATTATCAGGGACCAGTCTTACCTCAAACTTATCATGTAATTTAAATGTTAGTTGTGAGAAATTATCAACCCAGTTTGCCTGGAGCTGAATCAGGTAGTTATTATCATAAAGTGAGCTTCCTACTACAAAGTTGTCTTTTTTTAAACCTTTCACAATTATTGTGCAAATAACTTATTGTGAAAATAATATAAAACTTATCATATAAACAACATATATTACAATAACTGTATTTAAATTTACTTTATTATATTCCCATGGAAGGGGGTTAATATGGATAGGGTTTTTTATTAACAGGATTATGTCTTTATATGCCATTTAAGACTTGTTTATTTAAGATGTAATGTTACATGTATATTCTTCTTAGTTACCGGTACAATGTTTTGGTAAATACACCACCAATTATGCTCAGCCTTGTAATATTTCTGTTTGGGAAAGTAGTGCTTTATGTTAAGAAGAAATTAGGACATGTGTTTGAACGAATTTCAATGATGGTCCAAGACTCCCAGAGTTCATTTGATTATATGTACTTAGAATAGATGTTTATGGTTTACACTTGAGCTATGCAAGTAGAGAATGGAAGTTAGTGCATTCCATTAGCAAAAGGCATGTCTTCAACTTAATTGCTTCAGCTTTATACATGGATTTTTTTATATTTTTTTCTAATGCATAGTCCCAAATCATACTTTGTTGTAAATTTAAACCTAAAAATCCAAGCTATTCTACCACCATTATATTAGGGTATGTTTTACAAGCACCATACAAGCGATTTTTTCTTTTAATGCAGGGATAATTAAGCAGCTAATACATTTGAATGATAAAATAATGCTTGTTAGCTGAGCAAGTTTCCTTATATCTGATAATACACCAATTACAAGGCTCTATAATGGTTTAACGTTTTCCTAAAAATTAAATTAAATTTTTTTTTCTCCAGAATGTTGACTAGGATGTCAAAGAACTGTTTGTAAACATGTGAATGATTTATTTGAAATAAATATGTAAGGCGTATAAACAGGAGAGTTGATTAAATCAGACATGATCATTTAATTTGATAAAATTGGTATAATTTGATCTTATGTAGATTTGTGCTGAAATGTATCAGTTTATAAATAAGTTGTGTTTTAAACCACTTGATTTTGTTACCAGTGTCTGTTGTGTGTGCTTTGTTTGCTTTGTTATTGTCTCTTGAAATGTTCAGTTTTAATTTGAAATAACACAGTTAAAAACCACGGCCTCTGGATGTTGAAGTACATTGTGGGTCTAGTCTCTTCAGAAAAATAACAATATCTGCTCTCCTTTGCTAAAAAGCAATCAACATTCTTCAAGTGTAATTCTTTGAATGTCACGCTAACCAAGATAAAAAAATGATTTGATAAAGTCACAAGGCTGTATATTTGCTTCCTCTTCTGTATTTGTTTATGTTTATTCACTGATATTCTAGCTTATATCTTACCACAGAGAACAATTTCTTGTAAGTTGTAATGTAATTTCCTCAAATAGTATAAACAATATCATGTAGTTACAGAACACTAATGCATCTAGTAAATATTAAATAAAAAACAGAAGGATTTTTAAGTAAATGCATATTAACTTTATTGGTGTATCATTATTTTTCTCGATTAATTACTTTAAACATAATTTAAATGAGCACATGATGTAGTTCATGTCCAGCCAACTAAAGGGAGATCCAGGGTTGTGTCACACCAAGGCCTATGTTGGAGCCATGTAATTTAATTAACAAACTATTTGTATGACTGTGACCAATCTGTTATATTTTGGGGGTCAAGATGTGACATTGCCCACTTGGGACTGCATTTTGAAGACTGTCAAATGAATTAGTCTTCCAGGGGCAGCATAATGGCTTGATACTTCAACAAGAACACCTGAAATTCATGTCGGGTGGGGGGGGGGGGGGGGGGGCTGGCTTGTGTCGCTCATGGTTGGTTATTGGTGTATCAAATTTTTTTTCTTGGCCACCATTATCACTGAATGACTTAAGCTTGTTTAATTTGCCTGTGTGCCTTGTTTCTAACACTTGAATTATGTGTAGTGAGTAGCATTGATTGTTGTGTTCTTACCTCATATTAACCAGTATTTATATTCACAACTGTCTGATGATGCAGGGACTTGAGCAAAATATAACAATGTTAGTAGATAATCATTTCTTTAGAAAGTGAAAAAATAACACTACACGTCTTTTATTGATTAAGATATAGAATTAACGCCCATTGCTTATATATATTCTCCCATTACCATTGTCAAGCATATTTTTTTGGATTTGAACAGGAATATTTGAAAGAAACAACTCCAATTTAGTTAAGAGAACCATATATCTGTTAATCTGATTGTAACTGAATTTGTTGATCTTGTGATCAGTCAATAGCATACAATAATTCAAACAGCAGTATACTTTTTGTATTCATGAACATTAAAACAGCCATTACAACCTGTGTCCATTAACCCTTCGATGGTGTGCTCTGCATGGTGTTGGGTGTTCATGAGAAAGTGTTGACTGATGTTTAAGTTTAAATAGGATAAAAGACACTGGCTGTAAATTTCATGACTGCCGCTCTAGTGAGGAGAAAACATGGCGAACAATGTGCCTCGCACCATTAGGTTTTGAATTAATAGACTTAAAAACTAACTGCTAGCCTTTATCTAAAGACTATTCTTGAAGATTTGTTCCAACACTTGTCCAGCATGTATCCAGCAACTCTAGCCTACGCCTTGTGACTGCTGTGGTCTGTTGTGAATGTTGACTCCATTAAAACAATGAATAGCCATGATTAACACAGCGGCATGTCTTTTTAAAATTTGTTTGCTTTTTTATTTTTATTTAATTCCATTGATCTTTTTGTTGTCTTTACTTAAATGTCTTCTTTTTAGTTTCACCACAGTGGTAATATTTGACTCAGTGGAGATTTTTACTTTCACCACAGTGGTGGTATTTGACTCAGTGGAGATTTTTATTTACACCACAGTGCTAGTATTTGGCTCTGTGGAGATTTTTTACTTTCACAACAGTTGTGGTATTTGACAGAATGAAGATTTTTAAAGCACCTAAAATGCTTCTTTAAATAAAGAGATATCCATTTAAAAAATCCATTATGAAAATAACACATTAAGTGCAAATGATGAGGATTCATCTCTAGCAGAGAAGATGTTTAGCAACGTATATGCAACAAATTCAGCGACTTAAAATTTAAGTGACTGGAAAGATACTGTGATTTTTAAAATGGGAATAAATAAAAATAATTTTAGAAGAAAATAAATGTACATGAATAAATCATATCAACAAATAAATATTGTAGCAAAGTAGGACCCTTGCTTTTTAAAAAAAATCTCTATCATGAATAAACTTGATTTTTTTTTTTTAACAGCTCACATTACGTCTACCTTATAAATAACTCAAGAGATAGGCCACCATGCTATAGCCCAGAATGTCATGGGTCCAGAATGTCATGGGTTCTCAACAAATAACACTAAATTAAACATAATTATTTGTTTTCAAAAGAAAACTACAAACTTGGAAATATTCACAACACCGAATTATTTTATTTCATTTTAAACATAAGATTTTTTATAATTTATGTATTTATTTTGTTTAAAAAAACCATGCTTAGTCAGAAGACGGTGCAGTAACACAACAACCGAAAGATGACGTTACACACTTTCTAATATATCTTCTTCTCAATACGGGGATCCACATTCTAACAAATATCCGATCTCACGCCGATGGTCCCACTGATTGTGACTGATGAAGGATACGCCGAATTCATTGGGGCGTGAAATGGTAACACTCATTAGGTCATCTGCTATGTTTATGTTTACACATTTTTGTTGTGTGTACAGTGTACGTCGTTAGTTGATTGCATTAGGGCCTGTCGGTTTATAGGCCTATAAATAGCATTTGATAAAAGGATTCTCTGTGGGCAAGTAGCACTACTTTCATTGTCCTAACTTTTATGTCAATATTTCACGATTAAAGTCTATTAGGCCTACATTTATTAATTTTGTTTTTGGAAAGGCTAATCGAACGGTTCTTTCCAGGTTGTTATTTAAAATTATTAGTAATTATCAGATAATAATGTGCTTTTTGGGAAGAGAACAAATGTAGTAATAGAATAATACTAATGTAAAAAAAAAAAAAATTGATTACATTCCATAACATAAATGTTACTGGGCCAGACTTGGGTGTTTGCTTGGTTAATCGCACCGGAGCTGGGAATAAAAGAAATCACACACAAGCATCAAAATAAAAACAGTTTGCTTAATTAACATAGTTGAGATCAATAATTATTTGTCGATCATAAGCCAGTAGGCTTATTTCTTAGACTTTGAAAAATGTGAATAATTGCGCAATGTAAAATAGGAGTTGAAGGCCTAATAACTAATATTTGATATCATCTACCCGAACCTAAACATGTCTTAATAATTTGTTGTCCCCAATAGGCATACTAAATACTTACTATAGGGACCTAGTTTGCCTGTTGATTGGCTAATTTTTTTTAAATTTATATTTTTAATTGAACCTCTGACGCTGGACTATATTCTTTTACCCCCGAATCGAAGCAGCAATTAATCATGTTAATTAAATCATTAATCCCTTTACTTAACCGTTGAATAAAATTAACTTATCATTTTATTCATATTGAATCCAGGATAACATTTGCTTGTTTTAATTTTTTTTTTTTTATAAGTATCAGTGAAGATATTAAGTATTTACTAGTGCATGGAATGTATGTCCTAATCTCAGTGTTGGTGTTACACTTGGAGTCTCAAGCTGTGTCCACATTTAGGAAGAGAATGTTGTAATGTTTGGAACTTGTCGATGGTGATGACGCTCTTTCATAATAATTACTTTCGCCTGACGCCCGTTTTTACAAAAGAATCGAATTCAAGACGCTAAATCGCCTTAATGAGAACAGATGTCCGTGATCGTACGAGGCTTCATAGAACTAGTGATAAGAAAGACTTTCAACTGAAATCTGGCTGTAACTGTATTCTAGGTCTTTATTTATTCTAATTCGAGACATGGGTTCGGGGCAATAATCATACGTTGATGTCGCAGTCATGTGTTTGTTATTTATAGAGGAGAATGAAATGAAAAATTACACCCTCCCCCCCCCCCACCCGACCGAAAGTCCTACCAAAATTGAGGGGAAAGTCTTTGTCATTAGGCCAATGTAAGTCGTTTCTTAAAATTGACATGAATGTGAGCCAGTGTACGGCTCCCTGACATAAAGCCAAAACAATGTTATCTAAGCAACCGATAAGGTATAGGCACTGGCTTCAAGGGCCGTGCAGAGGACGAGGCAACCGAGTACATCACTCAGGGCCATGGCCGTTTGGGGACTTTTCGGCCACTTGGGGCTCCCCACCTTTTTTATCTTTGACCACTTGGGGACCCCATTTTTACCATTTGGGGATACCCTTTTTAGACCACTTGGAGACCCCCTTTTTAACCACTTGGGAACCCCTTTTTGGCCGCTCGGGGACTCCCTTTTTACAACTTGGGGACCCCCTTTTTGGCCGCTTGGGGACCCCCTTTTTTCTCGTCCATCGTTACGCAAATGCGTGCCGGTACCGTTTATCCGTATCAAATTAATTTCCCTTTGCCAGGGTGACATGCAGGTACAGCTTTCTTAGCGACAAATGTTCAGCTGAATCAGCGAGAACATAAAAAACAAACGAACAAACAAACAAAAATACACGACGAGCAGGCACTTCCTTTACCAATATTGGTTATGTCCCATTTTAATTATGTACGTAAATTACGTACATAATTAAAAAGATTATGAAGGGACATGTCAATACTTCTTAAGGGACAGAATTTGAAATTTATACTTACATTTGTTCGTAGAAATCCTCTATAAAATGTAATATAGAGCAAAGGGGTGGTGCTGAAAATTGTACAAAACATGCATCTAAACATGCATCTAAACATGCATCTAAACATGCATCTAAACATGCATCTAAACATGCATCTAAACATGCATCTAAACATGCATCTAAACATGCATCTAAACATGCATCTAAACATACATCTAAACATGCATCTAAACATGCATCTAAACATGCATCTAAACATGCATCTAAACATGCATCTAAACATGCATCTAAACATGCATCTAAACATGCATCAAAACATGCATCTAAACATGCATCTAAACATGCATCTAAACATGCATCTAAACATGCATCTAAACATGCATCTAAACATCAAATCATTCAAATCTAGTCCGGCTGGAAAAGGTGCTGGCTTATTTATAGGGAGGGAGTTAGAACCCTCCATAAAGTAAAGTGAAGAACGTACAAAAAATTAAGCGGTCGAAGTTCACATATACCCCATCAATGGTACCAAGGGGAAGACACTGCAGTCCGGTAAGGTAAGAGGAAATAAGCGAAACAACGAATGTGTCGACGGGGACCCAAGGTGTTTTTAAACACTTTTGACAGTCTTAACATGCAGTGGGGTAGGAAGGGGAGTGGTTCGGGGTTGTCCACCCCGGGCGACTCCTTTTTTTTCTTTTATGGAGCAGTGGCATTTTCAGGAAACTACAGTTCTTTTGTTTTGTTTGTGTGGAAGGAGTTGGCAGAAATCTTGCATTTCAAACAAATTCATCCTTCAAAATTTGGAGCTAAAAGGTCGCTCGCAAATTACGTCACGCTCGTGGAGGGGGGGGGAGGGGGGGTCGAGAATGTGTGGCACTCTGTGACAGGATGAGGGAGGGGAATTTGTGACGTAACGTTTTTTTTTTAATATGGGAAAATTTTAAAGAATAAAATAAAATCTTAGTTTATTTATGAAAATTGTATGCATGTTTTGAATTTTTTAGGTGTGACGTGACAGGGGGGGGGGGGGTAATTTGTGGACCTTGGTGAC